TCATCATTTCCTGATCTATTTTAATTCAGACATCTGACTCATACTGTATCACCTGAAAACCCACAGCAACCCACTCTATCTATCTATCTATCTATCTATCTATCTATCTATCTATTGAAGGGCAAAAGCAATGCAAGACTTCCTTAAATAAATATAGGTTCAGGAATCAATTAAACAGAAATATCGAGGTTATATTTGTTTGTTTGTTTAATTGACCCTTCTTAAGTCCCGCCCATTTTTGCTCTGTGCAACTTTCTCCTATCGTGTATTTAGATATGCTATGTGCTACAGTTGTCTATGTTGGAAAGATATATAGACACATCTTAAGTTAGCTAGCTAATATTTGTGACACACCAAAATACTAGCTAACTAGTCAAATAACTAAAGGTTATGAATATAACCCCAGTTCTCTGATTAGCATGAATGAGCGTCTCACGATGGGGAACGCCTCCTGCTTGACCTTGTCAGAAGCTTAAATAACATTATGCCAACCCTAATTGGCTGGCACTAATGACGTCTATGTCAGGAGGGGATAGGACCTTCGTCCTATATAATAGGCTGACATAGTGTCATTCGTCATTCCAAACAAGCTCACCTCTTCCTCACTTCTATAGCAAGGAGGGTAGTGTGGTGAGACACGGGGTTATAGTCATAACCTTAAGTTCTCTTTCATAGCATTTGTTTTGTGTCTATGGGGAAAAGAATACTGACTCCCGGATTGTCAGACATGCCTGTAAAGAAGACAACTGTCCCCAGTGGCACTTCACAAGGGAGGAGCTATGCTCTGAGAAGAGCCCACACTGAGGACTGAATGTGCCAGAGTTGGAGCCATTACATCCAACCTATAAAATCTAGCAAATGTGTGGGGTGAGGCCCAGCATGCAGCTGCACACACCTCTTCAATGGAAACCCCTTTAAAGGGAGCCCATGAGGTCGCTAGACCCCTGGTGGAATGTGCACCGAGACCAGCAGGAGGCTGTAGACCCTTGCTGGCATAAGCTGGGGTAATAGCCCCTACTATCCAGTAGGAAAGACGCTGTTTGGAAACAGGCTTTCCCACATGAGGTTTTGCCCAAGACACAAATAACTGGTTACCCTGTCTGAACTCTTTGTCTGGTCCAAATAAATTTGTAATGCACGAACTGGACACAGAGTATGCAAACGCCGGTGCTCTTCAGAGGAGAAAGACGGGGGATAAAAAGTGACCATAACCTTTGGGATAAAGGCCGGTTTAGGCTGCAGACTGACCTTGGCATTCCTGGGGGAAAACTTTATACATGCCTCATGCACCGAAAGTGCATGCATCTCACCTATACGCTTAGCCAAGGCTAAGGCTAGCAATAAGGTGGTCTTCAGGGACAACATTTTCAGCTCTGCTTGTTCCAGTGGCTCAAAAGGGGAACAGGAGAGAGTGTCTAGTACAGTGGGGCCAGTGGTCTAGATGTAGGCAATTTACGCTGTGTACCCTTCATGAATCAACATACTAAAGGATGTTGACCTACTGACTTCCCATCAAAGCCAATATGGCAGGCAGAAATAGCTGCCAAGTACACCTTGATGGTTGAGAAGGCCTTACCTCTCTCAATAAGGTCTTGTAAAAATTACAGAATCACTGCTACAGAACACTGAAAAGGCACAGCTTGTGACTTTGAGCACCAGCTCTCAAACACATGCCACTTAAGCTCAGATAGTGTCCCAGTTGAAGAGGCTCTGATGCACTGAATAGTGTCAATAACACTATGAAGCAATCCAACTGTATTCAAGTTGAACCACTCATGGGCCAAGCCTATAGAGCTAGCCTCTCTGGGTGGGGGTAGAATATTTAGGTCCCTGCGAATTGGTAACGGCCACGGCAGGCCAGACAGAAGTTGAAAGAATTGAATTTGAATTTCTTTAAATGGTGGTTTGGGGCACGGAGATCCAGAATGGCTTGCGATATTGAATTGGAGCCTGTAGCCCTTCTCTATTGTTCTTAACACCCAGTTTGACCGGGTGCAGGCAGCCATGTGCAGAGAGAGCAGACTGACGCTTCGGCGCTCTCTTGGAGCCAGAGCACATAAAGGCGGGAGCGCCGTAACTATTTATACTTGCGCGTGGTGGTCGCAACACTATTTGCAGTCTTCTCCTGAACAGAGGTGTCGCAACTGAGGAAAGGCTATCGACTTTGCTATTTCTATGCACTAGAAGAAGAAGAGGTCGTAGAGGTTCTTCCAAAATTTTCCGGCATATGGCCCTCCTCTTTTCACCTCTGGGTATCTCTGTGTTCCTTCATTGAAGGATTGTACAGATGCCTGTAGAGGCGCTCTTGCTCAGAAAGCTTGCCCTCGAACATCTTCCTGTTTCCGCTTTGGCGTGCTCAGCTGAAAAACAAAAGAGTGGTGCGCGACCTGGCACGGGCGACCTGGCCTAAATCCTGGCACGGCAGCGAGATCTACGTCATTTTGATGTCACATTGTCGTGCGACAGGTTGGGAACAGCGAGTATATAAGAGCCTTTACACACACTGTCCATGCGCTCCGTCGCCGCCAGCACACGGCAAACGGACTATCTGTGTTGTAACAGTCATGGGGACACTGGTCCCCACAGGCTGCATAATGACAGATATAATTGATTTGTTTTTCAACATGTCTTTTTTCTGCATATTTTTTAGAAAATGTGACAGCGCCCTTGGCAGCCTGCCTGGATGCGCTTGTCGGGACATTTTTATTACAGAATGCAAATGAGTGCTTGTGTGACAATAATGATAACATTGTCTTACTTTCCCCGTGGTGGTCACTGGAACATGGACACCGATTCGGGTTCTGGAACACGTCCTGTTGAACTAGCTCTTGAACGGAGCTGGGGGGCTGAGAGGTCTGTGACGGCCGGCCGTTTCTTTTTCCTCACATTCACAGCTGGAGGATTTACAGTCACATCTGTCTCTTGAGACAGGAAAGCGGGGGCCAGGAGCTGGGGGTCTGCATCCGCCAAGCTCAATCCAGGTGTCGCTGTCAGCGGTACTGTTGCTCACACATATCTCCACCCGACAGGATAAAGGCTGTTATATACTCGCTGTTCCCGACATGTCGCGCAACAATGTGACGTCAAAATGACGTAGATCTCACTGGCGCGCCAGGATTTAGGCACCACTCTTTTTTTTTCAGCTGAGCGCGCCAAAGCGGAAACAGGAAGATGGATCCTGTACGATCCTCAATGAAGAAACACAGAGATGCTCAGAGGTGCCAGAATTCCAACATTCATGGCAATTTCTGGCCATGAATGTTGGAAAAGAAGAGGCCATATGGAAGAACCTCCGCGACCGATTTGGAAAATCAAAAAAGATTGTTTACCTTTTTCTACTTTGTCTAGTGCGTAGAAAGCAAAGTGGTAGCCTTTCCTCAGTTGCGACACCTCTGTTCAGGAGAAGACTGCAACTAGTGTCGCGGTCACCACGCGCAAGTATAAATAGTTACGGTGCTCCCGCCTTTATGTGCTCTGGCTCTAAGAGAGCGCCGAAGCGTCAGTCTGCTCTCTCTGCACATGGCTGCCTGCACCCGGTCAAACTGGGTGTTAAGAACAATAGAGAAGGGCTACAGGCTCCAATTCAATATCGCGAGCCATTCTGGACCTCCGTGCCCTAAACCACCATTTACGGCGCTCCTGTGACGTCACATTGTCGCACTACAGGGCGGGAACAGCGAGTATATAACAGCCTTAACCTGGCAGGCTAACCGGCAGCGAAGTAGCTTACGGGGAAGGCAGCGCAGTGAATACACTCATCGGTGTGGGGTAAACAGCCTGGCTGTGGGTAAGTCCAGACACGCCGCACACACAGGATGAGTGTCCCAGCCAGAGATTTTATTGCTGCAGGGACAAAGCTTCAGGCTTTTTCCGACATCGCTGGGGTAAATAGCCGTAGCCATGGTTAGCTAGTGGGCTTTAGACCCTAGCAGGGATGTAAATTTGCTTGTGCAGCTACTGGGCGAAAAGGGGAGAAAATATTGCTATTTTCCGAGCTAGTGTAGATATGAAAAGTAAGGCTACCTTTCAGGAGGTATTGCTACCTGTTATGGGCTAATCCGCTAATGCTAACAGTTATCAGGTATTGCTACCTGACGGTATTGTTAGCGCTTATTACCAGAAGTATTGCTACTTCCATAGGGCAAAAGTATTGCAACTTTAAACCCCCAGGCCAGTCAGTGAAGAGTATTGCTTTTGTTCGTGAACTAGCAAAGCAACCATACAGATGGGAATTAAGTGCCCGGTGACTAAGCTGTGCACCCGTGTCTGTGGACAGTTTAGCTTAGCACCCAAATAGCACAGTTGTCGACAGGCTTCTGTGAGAAGGGAGAAAGGTTTTTGAATGACGAATGACACTATGTCAGCCCATTATATAGGAGGAAGGTCCTATCCCCTCCTGACATAGACCTCATTAGTGCCAGCCATTAGGGCTGGCATAATGTTATTTGAGCTTCTGACGAGGTCAAGCAGGAGGCGCTCCCCATAGTGGGACACAAAACAAATGCTATGAAAGAGAACCCCAATCATTAGCTAGCTAAACTACATCAATCTTTAACTAGCTACTTACATCTGATAGCTAATGTTAGCTCTCCAGATGACTCTTCGAGACAAGTAGCTTGATTTGGACCAATTGAAGATAATTTAGTGCTCATATTGTTTCATGAACAAATATTCATGATAACTAGTGAAGAGTGAACATCTGAAGAAGGGTGTTTGGAGAATGAGTGCATCCATTGACAAAGTTGAAAGAAAACTCAAAATGTATCTTTATAAGATCCTTTTAATGTTGACTATGTAACTTTTGGTGCTAAACTGTCCTAACTATGCAAAATGGCGTACTGTTGGATCCCATTTTGTACCAGTGACAATCACAATGCATCAAACAAGCTACTTGCAGTGTCAACAAGCAATTTTTATGTTGCCTTCAACGTACAGTACCAACACAGTTTGGAGACTTGCAGTAATATGGCAGAAATTGTGTCTCAGGTAATCATCCTCACCAACAGATGAGATGTAAGTGAAGTGGTCCTCCTCGCCTTCCTCTGTGTTGATGAGGTCATTCTTACTCTTTTTGGTCCTTTTCAGCACTGCAAATACAATATGGGAAAAAAATATTCAGCTAATCTGATTTACCTCAGATTCATTTAGTATTTGTTAAAGCTGAATTAGGAATATCCTTTCTCTCTCACTTCCTCTTTCATTCTGCTTGTGGTGAATTCCAGATAACTCTTTCCCACTCAGCCCTGTGTCAGTTTTTATTTATTTCAACATTCAGCATTTCCATGATTTGTGCTTCCTTTCAAACTTTATCTCACTTATATCTGGCCAGTTTAGTTCATTCACACAGAAGTGAAATCAGTGTTATAAAATAGGTCTCAGTAAGGTTAAAACATAAGTTTGCTAGGCAGCTGGACTCGCAAGATCATGAAATCACAAGAAGAGCAACTACATTACTACATTATACTGTTTGTTGATCTGATTGGTTAAAGTTCGCTGGTGACAGACGTGATAGACAGATGGTTCATCCAATACCCTGCCAAGTATTTTTTGAAAGTTCCCGACCTTTTTCAAAAACAACTTCCCAGTTGGTTCTGTGTAACAAGTCATCTGGCGCAATCGAGTTAGTAAAAACAGCCTCAAAAGAGAAGCTAAAATGTTATTAAAATGGAGCAAAAGTCTAATGGGTAAGACCGCATCTGATATTCTGATAGTTATATATGTGGACCATAAAAAAAACCATGAGGAACCTATTCTACTCTCTACTCTCTATTCTATTCTATAACTCTGTTCTCAAAGGGATCCTGAATATATGGCTATAGAAACTGGATGCATGGATGGAGGTCTCTATTCTAATATTATAGGTCTGAAATTAGAAATTATGCAGCGTGAGATGGACAGGCAGATCGGTGCAGTGTCAGCAGTGATGCAGGCATTGTTCCGGACTGAGCAAGAAGGCAAAGCTTTCAATTTACCAGTCGATCTACATTCCAACCCTAACCTATAGACATGAGCTTTCGATGGTGGCCAAAAGAACAAGATCGCGTACACTGATCTTTTAAAATTTCCTCTGTAGGGTGGCTGAGCTCAGCCTGAGAGGGTGAGGATCACGGACATCCGGAGGGAGCTCCGAGTACAGCTGATGCTCCTTTGCGTCAAAAGGAGCCAGCTGAGGTGGTTCAGGCACCTGATTAGGATGCCTTCCTTTCTCCAGGCACTGGGAGGACACCCTGGGGTAGACCAAAAACTCACTGGAGGGATTATACATCTCATATGGTCTGGGAACACCTCCACCTCCTGCAGGAGAAACTGGAATGCGTTGCTGGGGAGGGGGACATCTGGAGTGCCCTGCTTGACCTGCTGCCACCACGACCAACCCCGAATAAGCAGATAATGGATGGATTGACGGATAATAGATAATCAAAATGATCTGTAGTTGTAACACTACATATATTATCATGTAGCAATGCAGGGTATGTGTGCTAGGTATGAAGCATCTATTTTGTAAAGATACCATCCTTTTTTCTATAATGAACTATAGTCCTGTCAAATCTCTCAAATCTTCTTCACAGCAGACTGTTGGTGTTTCATAACTCAACACAGTTCAGTTTTGCTGTTGAGAGCTATTAAAAGGATCAGGGAGAGTATCAAATAAACAGAGAAGAGCAGAGCTTTAAAATTGTGTGAAGGGCCCTCGTACTCCCACGCCGCCTCTGAACTCCAGTGAGCCTCACTCTTCTGTACTTCATTCTAATCTCATTACCCTTCCACCCTGGCACCCATAATCACTGTGACTGTTACCCTGGGTGAGGCTGCAGATGAGAGGCAGTATGGCCTTGATAAGAGGAGAATGCGTGTGAGCACACACACACGCTGGTGGAAATGATCTGTATCAGGCACATAACAGTATGGTCTAACAGTATGCCAGTTACCGATACGGATAAGGATACCATAATCTCCGAACGCATAGTGTATTTTAAAATTATATTTAAAAATGTTTTCAAACTTTGGTGCTTTTAAATTGATACATTATTTGTTGTCTTATCTATTAACATAGACATAGGTACATGTATTGTATATTGCAGGTATAGGCATACTGTATACATTATAAATGTGGATATATCCATATATACTACTAAAATAGAAGGACTAACATTAAAGTGACAATCACAATTAAATATGCTATGAGTACAGGGAAAACTTGATGCAAATTTGCTGACTGTACATGGCAGTAATGCAGTGACAGCTGGTAATGGTATTGGTGGTGATGTATCGTAGAACATACTGTAGGTAGTGATGCAGCAATAAAAGAGAAGAGGAAGAAAGACAGCCAGCGGCTCTACACAAAAGCCGTCACAGGCCGCTGTTTTCAGTAACCAGGCTTCATTCAGCCGCATCAGCTCCACCCACACTCCACCTCTTTGTCCATTTTTAGATTAGCCAGGAGCCAGCGGTGTCAGGACTGAGCCGACCACACTGAGCTTTACACCAGTCCTTCAGAAAGCTATGGGTGACGTCACAGAGACTATGTGAGTTTTTAATACACAGTCTATGGTTATTTCCTACCTTCCTGCCCTTTTGTGCTCTGTGCTCCAAAACCAGTTGAATAAGCCTTGGTCAGAACCTCGGTTAACTAGCTTGCTAATCTTAGAAAAACTCTTGCTATCTAGCTAGCCAATCTATATTAATCTTTAGCTAGGTAATTGCACCTGAAGGCTAATGTTAGCAAAATGTTAGCTAACTAGGTAGCCAATGGACATAAATTGTTAGTGAGCTAGGTAGCTTACGTTTTTGCTTACACTTAAGAATTGACTACATATATGTCGCTTTTATCTTTAACCTTCTTCAAAATATGGTTGTCTTTTGGGAGCGGCTGTGGCTCAGAGGCAGAGCGGGTCGTTCTTTAATCGGAAGGTTGTAGGTTCGATCCCTGGCTCCTCGTGTCAAAGTGTCCTTGGGCAAGATACTGAACCCAGAATTGCTCCCGATGCTGTGCATTGGTGTGTGAATATGTATGAATGAGTTAGTTTATGATTTTCTTTACTTTCCAAATCAACAAAGGACATTAAAAGAAAAGATCTGTGGCTTTAGGCAATCCACAGAGAGGATAAAAATAATAAACCGTGGGACCCGGACAGTCAATATGTGTCCGTCTGTGGCAAACACTTCATCACAGGTTCTAAATGATGTTACTGAGTACTGACGCGTGCTGATTATGTCTGTAGAGTAAAGAGAATCATTAAAGATTTTTTGAAATGGAGTTTGATTTGATAGTGTGGAGCAGAGGGTATTTTAACTTTAATAATTCACATAAACTGAGCTGACCTACCTTCTTATATTTAACATTGTAAACAGCATAAAGTAACGTAGGAAGTGGACATAAACCCCCCATTTTCTACTTCTGTCGGCTCCTGATAGAAGGACAATTAATAAACGCAAACAGCGATATGATTCATTTACAGCAACATCACATTGGACAGACAACCAAAACAGCAAAATAAAGTGTCTTAATGACAGAAATATGAGATTCAATGAGGTCGTTGTATATGTCAGATCCGTCCACTTTGATGCAGACTGAAAGGACACTTTATCGGCTGTTTGCATTGTTGGCCACAGGATTTTGACTCCTAATAGCTAAAAAGCAATACAACAATCTTATTGTATCATATTAAAGTGGCTAAGATCTCGGAATTTACTTTTACTGCCAGTCAAATTAGAGGGAGTGTTTTCATCCAAACTGATGCAAGGCCAAAGTCCCCAGATGGGTTGCTATCATCTATTGTGAAGATAAGAAATAACCTGCCAGGTTAAAGAAAGAGCACCATATTACAATTTAGCACCCTGTCAGAGGCATACGAGGTATACCCACCAAAATAAAGAGATAGCCTATATGTGAAAATGGTATGAGTTGGACTTGAGAAGAGTCAGTTATTCTGAAGATGGTGGTCCTCACCAGAGTTGCTGTGTTTCTTTTTGTACCATGCTCCATCCAGAGATTTCTCCTCTGCGTTCTTGTCTTCCTCAGCCAGCATCACCTCCTCTGCAATACAAATACCACACCTGAATTAGTCATTATTAGGTCACATTTGTGTTACCAGTTACAGGAAAGTTTTTCAGTTATTTATTACAGTTAGTTATTATTACAGTTTTTACTGCCATGATCAGTGAAGGCTAAGCCCACATTTGTAACCCAGAGTGTGTGCGTATGTTTCTGACCTGCTTTGCAGATCCACTCCAGGTAACCGGTTAACTCTCTTTCGATTTGCTGTTGTCTGCGGAGCTTCAGGAATTCTTGCCTCTTCTCCACCCGCTCTCTCTCCTTGGCAAACTCACTGTAGAAACCACAAAGAAAACACACACACAGACACACAGAAATGTTTATTGGATCTGACAAGTCAACACGCAGACCCTGGAGTACTCCACTGTTGACAGGTATATAGCAGGCTGACTTCCAGCAGGTAAGACAGAGTCAGTGTCCTGTCACACTGCGGAACAACTGAACCATCAGCAGCAGGGTGGTCTCTTGCTCAGACAACAAGCTAGTACATGTCTACATGGAACAAGGCACTCTGTTGTCCTTTCTCTCAACAATGACCATTGAGGTGCACAGTCTCCTGATATGGAGCAAGACTCATGTCTGTAATGAAAATCAGTAAAGATTTACAGTTAAACACCAATGACATGTGACTTCACTTGAACTTTGGCCTTTTGACTAATGTAATAGTGTGACAGAAATAACTATTGTCAATTGAAAGTAGCTAGATGGTGTCACATGCTGATTTGCATACGAGTAACATTACCACTTTCACAACATAAACATTTGCATAAACAAATAAAAGATTTGGGTCAAACTAAACTTAACTAACTAGCTTTATCATCCGTTTTCATTATTACACAAGCTGCTATCGTGTCATCTAAATGCATCTAAATCTACCTGTAGTTTCCACTGTGCAACTGACATGTCATGAATACAGAGCATCTGCACATTAGAATGAACTAACCCTGTGAACTCTGGATTTTGTGAAAAAAATAAAACCAAGTTTACCGTCAGGTTATGCCCTTTAGAACAACTGCAAAGTAAAAGTAGAAAGATTAGTGGAAGGAACATCCGATACTGGTGTCAACAACTCTACTTGGGACTTTATAGCCAAGACTAGAGACTGACTTGTGACTCAAGACATGGATCTTATTTTGAGTAGTTTTGGTAGAGATATTATATCAATATAAATATGAATAATATGTTATTGTTACTGATAGGAAAGGGTGAAAGTAAGAAAATAATAAACCAGAATGACGTTGGTTTGTGTCTTTGTAATGAGGAAAACAGACAGAGCAACTAAGGCCAGCCGACAGAATATATAGACAGAGAGAACAACAATGAATGTCTATGGCAGTGCTTTGTTTACAATCAGGATATACACATATACAGTACAGTACAGTACAATAAAGTATAGCGCCCATTTTAATTATACTTATCTATATCCATACAGGATTAATGAAATGAAACACTGATTGAATCAATTATTTTTTTGTGAGAATATCAATTGTTATCCTTTTTATAGCCAACTTAAAAAATATTTGTACTAATATTACAATATGTTATAATGCTCATTTTTAAAGCTGATAACTTTATCTCCACTGCCATTGTATTTCTTTGTTAACATAAGGGTTCGGGTTATATCATGCCAATAAGGCAGTTTTCAATTTAAATGAGCTGGGAAAGGAGATATGCGAGAGATGAGGCAGAGAGGGGGAGGTGAAATAAGAAAGGAAAAAGGCGGTGGAGAGAGTCAGCAAGACCAATAAAGAAAGAGAGAGAGAGAGAAGAAGAAGAGAGAGGAAGACAGTCTGGTGAAATAACAGAACGAGGGATCTCCAGTCCACCCCCACCGCTCAGTGATTGGTGTGTCTCCCACACAGTGGAGGGGGAAGCTCTATTCTGCATTGCAGTGGCTGTCTGCCTGCCTTCCTGAGGGTGTGTGTGCATGCATGTGTGTTTATGTGCCTGCCAATGTGTCTAAATCTAATTTTGTGGCTACACATCTTTCCCCTCTATAATGTGTGTGCAGTGCATCCATGGGTTGGCTGGTTGAGTATACGGTGCGTGTGTGTGTATACAGGGAGAGACTAGGATTTCCCAATGTTGTTGGCAGCTTTCGGCGACACTTTCACACTGTCTCACACACATACACATTGATACATATGCCAGCATGAGCACAAACATAAACATTGCACAAAGAGTCGGATCCTCACTAAATTAGATAATTACAAGCTCCCATACACATACAGTACGCACGTTTTCTCTTCCAGAAACAGTCAGACCAATTCAAATATGCATATATATAGAAAGTGCTGATGAAAGCTACAGTATCACCACCAAACAACAGCATTCAAAATGCACTGTAATGCATGATGTGTTTATTCTTCTACTATGTATGTCTTGCATTTAATGTTGTGACATACATTGGGCCCTATTTTAATTGCACAAGCTCATCGACTGTGGGTGTTTCCACATGCTATTTTAGTTCATGTAGCAGCAGCGCAAAGTTCAAGAAAAGCTGTGAGATGGTGAATTTAGATCAGAGGGCGTGGCAATTAATAAATATGCTGTCAGCCAGTCACATCACTGATCTCATCACTCTGAAGCAGCAGGGCCAATTGCAGTGATGCGTGACGATAACAACTCCACAAATGAAGAATTGGCTTCTCCAGGAAGTTGTTGTCTGGATGGTGCAGAGCAGCACTACAGGAATGCAGCACCACAAATTTGCAGCAAGAGATACACGGAGTGAGTTTCTTCAACAGTTAATTAGTACGGTGATGAAATAAATTGGTGAAGCAGTTTCTATGATTAGCCCAACGCTATTAATTCATAATTCTACTACGTTGCAAATGGTTGCATCATATCTTAAAATGTGACACAGCAGCTTTTGCTTAACAATACATTTCATCAATAAAACATTACCTTTTTTTAGGTTGGAAAGGAGGCTGTGATGCACAGGATTAATAAACTCCGACATCTCCTGCATAAACAGGGTGAATACTGAGTTATAAGAGGCCTGTCTGATGTGTGTAAAGGTGTGTTGTTATTCTGTAGCAATCTGATGTTGTGATGTATGTGATTTTACAAGATGTTTACAGTGTCACTGTGTTCTGGCACTGCACTCTGGTCACAGCATGGTGCTGCAAGGGTTTAATGAGTTGAAGGAGAAACTTTTCATACATGCAGTGGACACAGACACTTTAGGAATCACTCATAATCACTTATATATCAGTGCAGACTGATTTGTTCCTTTTGATGTCGATTTAAACGTATCTAAAATTGCTTGTTAACATCTTAAGCATTATTCAATTATTGCTGTGGAACTGCTGCAAGTATTTAGTTTGCTCTTGTAGATAAAATTACCAAAGTGGAAGCTGAGTGGCTCCAGAAACAGATGTGGACTTTTGCACTGTCTGATTTAAATGAACCTCCTGTTTGTTCGTCTCCTCCCACCTCTGCACCGTGCACAGACCACACAGACAGGCAAAGAGATTGTCAAAGTCAGGAAAAGACCAAACGGAAAGCTGCTTGACCTGGTGGAAGAGCCGTCACGAACATATGGCCCAATATGTGTACATGCGCATATACACATGCATGTAGGTATCTATACGTATGCATATATACAGTATGTCTGCGTATGTATGTGTATGCACAACTAACTATCTATTCATTGTCTGGACAAAATTAAATATTTATTGTGAGAAGGGTAAGTGTATTGAGATATGCCTACACCGTTTCATTGCTATAACCTGTAAATTAATAATTTTGAGGTTGTGTAGAGAAGGGGAGGGACCAAGTCATTGTTTTGCAAGTAACAAATAAGTCTTAAGTCTTTGTACTAAAGTCCCGAGTCAGGCAAGAGTTTTGAGTCCTAAACAAGTCATAACGTAATATCGATCCTGGTGGAGCCTCCTGCCATCGTCCTGCTAGATTGCCATTACCAATACTGTTGTTGCTGTGCACCTGTCTGTCTGTTTCTCTCTCTCTCTCTGTCTGTCTGTCTGTCTGTCTGTCTGTCTGTCTGTCTGTCTGTCTCTCTCTCTCTCTCTCTCTCTCTCTCTCACCCCAACTGGTCGAGACAGACGACCACCCACCTAGAGCCGAAGGGTCTGTCCTAGGTTTCTGCCTTTTAACAGGCAGTTTTTCCTTGCCCTTGTCGCCAAGGTCTTGCTCATGGTGATACTGTTGGGTCTCTGTAAATAATGTTATAAAGAGTTCGATCTAGACCTGCTCTATTTGAAAAGTGTCCTGAGATAACTTCTGTTATGAATTGCCGCTATACAAATAAAATTGAATTGAATTGAACTGAATTAACGTGCTCTTCAGATGTCCAAATGTAATGCCATTTTAATGACAGAATAACCAAAACTAACTCTGACTCAGCAACCACATAATGTAGCACTGTTTGCCTCTTCAACATCTGTCACACTTATCACAGTCACCCATTTTGCACTATTAATACACTACTTGCACTATTAGTATTGTGCAGTTTGCATACAAATTTAGATATACATATTGATTATATTTTCTGCTAAGTTACTTCTGTACGACGCACTAATAGTAAGGAAATTTGTGTTTGGTAGATTATTTCTTTGTTGTAACAATGCTTCTTGGCAATAAATCTTATACCACTGGAAAGCCTGTTTATTTTCCTTTTAAATAGTGCCAAATTTGTATGGAACATGCATTTTGTGGGATGAGCAGCAGAGATGAGTATGTGTGTTGCGCCCATGAAAAGATTTGCCAAATCTTCTCTGCCAATGCCAAACAGCTTTAATCTACCAAACAGAAATGTCCTTACTTTTTGTGCGTAGTATATATATATATATATATATATATATACACACACACACACACTCACACACATATATATATATATATATATATATATATTTTTGTTTGTGTGTGTGTGTGTAAATATATATATATTATATGTGTGTGTGTATATTTTATTTTATTTTTACCCTTTGGTACAATTTTTTCTACTGGCACTCAGTAACGTAACATTAGTTCTTTATGATTCTCTACTGCAACCGGACTAGATGCGGTCGGACTGGTTCAAACAAAGTGGATCTGGGGGGGGGGAATTAGGGGTTGGGAAGGAACAGCATTAATGTTCTTTGATTCAGGAAATAAGGAGAAATGGATGTCACACTTTCTAATAACATACTTTTTCATCTTTGGGTTTAGGGGAAGGTATCAAGTATTTTCCAGTCAAAAGTCCAAGTGAAGTCACAGGTGTCAAAGTCCAAGTCGAGTCTAAAGTTATCAAATTTGTGACTACAATCTGACTCGAGTCCATACCTCTGGTGTGAGGATATCAGGTGTAAAGCATTATGAATGCTGAACTTAAACAGTAATACATTATTTCCACCACCTATAATACTTTATAAAGCTTATTATAAGTTATTATGTATGAATATGTGTATGATTATAAATATTTACAAAAACAAAAACTGTAAATGTAATGCTAAACCGAAAGTAGCAGTAGTAGTCCTTGTTTTAGCTAACATGTCTACAAACAATTGCCTATTTCAGAGTAGATGGTGGGGGGTTCAACTTTGATCACATCCACATCTTATCCCAGCCTGCCCACGCTGATGGGATAAAAGCTGAGTGAATGGCCCCAACCTCCCCTGGGGGGTCTGCAGCCTCTCAACCCCGCATGTATCTGCTCTCCTGCCTGCTCTGAAGCTCAGATCGTGGCCTTTAAACAATGACATGGCCCCCGCACGGCCCTGCCAGACAGCATCAGTGACCTTCCACCTCCCTAGTAACTGTAAAGCCATCTGACAACTTCTGTGGAGAGAGCAGGAAACAGGGAGGACAAGACAACCACAGAGGGGGTGGCTAAAGGCTACCTGCCTTCTAAAGCTTTTGTCAATTCTGTTTGTATGGATGTACAGTATGTGAATGTGTGGAGAATATAAAAAGTCAGAGAAAGACACAAAAAGCCAGATGTTATAAACAACAAAATCACAAAATGAAGATGTTTGTCTGTAAAAATATATGAAAAGAAGGGATTTGAAAGTTGATACACAATAGAATGCCTTATTCTCTAAATTCTAAAAGCTTTGGAGCCGTGACCATAAAAGCTCTAACAGTCTAGTAGGTAGCCTGGATCAAGGAACAGCCAGGAGACCCTTGATAAGACCTCAAGATGTGAACTAGCTAAAAAGGATTCAGAAATTCAGAAATGTAGTTTGGAGGCAAACCTACAACTGCTCACTTGTTTTATCTTGTGTGAAGCTGATAAGATTATCGTATTACAAGCCAACATAAAAAAAAAGATGATCTAGAAAAACACACGTTAATGGCTCTGTTAAGCTGACTTTGCAGTTTGCTCACTCTAGTCATCAAACTCCTCTCCCGACAGCACCAGATTAATTAACCGTCAAACTTAAGTAAACAAGAAAAAGTTGAGACTCATTGTTCCACTCTGCAAGTAGCTGCAGGAATTAAGGTTGGAAGAAAAAAAAGGTTGCACAAATTAATTGAACCTACTTGAAGGGACAGTTACTCTCTCTCTCCTTGATTTTAAAGAGAAGCACAGTGAGGAAATAGATTTCACACCAGCAGCGAGAACCGTTGCCTTATCAGCAAGGGCAGAGCAGCCAGCTGGAACATAGAGTACTGTGGCTTCTTTAAAAAATAATGACCTTAACATTGAACAACACAAGAGTGAATATGAATACAACTTCACGTTCATCATTTTATCTGAACTAGCTCAGATAGATGAAGAAAAAGCAGGAATAACAGCAGTTTTCTCCATACGGTTCTGTATGGAGAAAATGTTAGAAATGGAGTTAAACTTTTAAGGTGAGAGGTCATCGTGCTGCTTGTGCTTCTGCCTGAAAGCTACACTGCAAATACTGACAACTGACCCTTCCTATGTTCCACCCCTTTTCTGCTCTGTGCTCCGGTAACAGCTGATCAAGCCTCAGTTAGAACCTCGGTCAACTTCCTCCTTTCCTGTACTTATATGCTATGTGCTGTGCTAGGCTTGTCTGTGTTGAAAAGAAAACCACATTCTGAAGATGGTTAAAAGAGAAATACTCTATATGTAGTCATATCTTATGTTAGCCAGCTGTTTTTCAAAGTGGGGACCAGAGCTGCCAGGGGGTGCCGGGGGGGGCACAGCAAATTAGAGGGAAGATGAGAGAAATGCTTTTAGAAATCATTTAAAAAAATTGAATGAAATGATTACCCAATTATTCTGTGTTTTCGGATAAAATCTAATTTCTAAGAATATATAACATATCAAAATATGTTGTAAATAAGAAATGAAAAAGCATTATCCATTCCCCCAGGGTCAAAAGAACTATGATTCCTACATTGTTCACTGAATATGTGAATCACCACTTTAGAGTCACCATGTTTCTACAGTAGCCCAGAAGGGAAAAACCAAACACTAGCTGTAAATAGGGGCGTTTTCGTGTCTTTTACTGCCACCGTAGTTTCTCCTTTGCGCTTGGAAGGAGATGTTGAAACGAGCAGGTCACTCTGCAACTACTCCGCTAGATGCCATCAAATCCAACACACTGGTCCTTTAACCTTTCATTAAAAATTGAACAAGTTGGTGCAGAACTACAACAATCAGTTCAGATAAACAATGTAGTTCTTCCTACCAAAAACCTAAAGCCTGTCTCCCATCACCCGTTGACCGGACTATTGTAACTCACTGCTCTCTAGCATCTGCAAAAAAATCTCACTCCCGTTCACAGCTCAAGAGCATATTCCACTGATGTTGGTGTCCCTGCACTGGTTGGGAGTGGCAGTAGCTCAGTCCTTAGATACTTGGCCAGCACAGAACATAGTAAGGACTGTGGACTGCTAGCTAGATAGGTGTCAGTTCACCTCCTGGGCACCGAACCCCTAACTACACCACTACCTGAAAGCCCATCACTCCACCATCTCTCCATATTTGCATGTCTATCAGCCCTGTGTGTGTATGATTGTATTTCAGACCTATTCATGAAAAAAGAATTTCCCCATTGGGCATTAATAAAGTAAATCTTCATTCTTCTTCACATTGTCAGTGTTGTTGTTTGATACATTGTTATTATAAAAATATGGATTATTACCACTTTAAACACTGAAAATACACAAACACTACAACACTGGAAATATGTACCTAAATGTGTAAAAGAAATAGTTAAAGAATAAAACAAAATGTCACAATTTAAAGCTATATAAGAAAGGGTTGATTACATGTTAGTTGTATAAGTGTTTCTTTATCTAACTAACCACCCACCCCAATGAAAAGATTAAATCCCTACCATGTTTTGGCATGGATGATATACTATGGGTTAGATTTTGCACATGAACAACACCCAGAGACTGCTGGTGCTGAAGAAAGATGATAATAACTGCAAAGCAATATTACAAAAGAGGCAATAAAACCACAGCCTTCTCCCATGACGCTCTTTTCAATGGCGGAGAGACAACTGAGCATCTGCTACTTGTGTTGCTTTAGAAATGAGGAAGTGTACACCACAGAGTCACAATGACAGGCACTGCACACCATGTACAGTAGAAAGTCTGCTCATGGTGTGGCAGACTTGTATAATCATGTGAATTTATGTTTTAATAAAACATCATGAATTTTACATTGGAGCTGCCACAGATGTGGAATTTGCCTAAATTAGTAAATGCAAGAGAGGTGCATACACTGGAAGAAGGAGAAAGTCCTAAATGTGGGATGTTTGATTGCAGGTTATAGAATTCTTTATTGTACCAGTGGCATTTCTGAGTTAGGGATGATCTGATCTGATCTGAAGTCCACCTTATTATTAGTATGTTGAAAGACTGTTTGCTGAACCTCTCCCCAGAACATTGATTGTCCAATTATAGTTGAGCAACCCTAAGAAGACAGAGAGGGTTTTCAGACCTGTTAAGTGTTTATTTTTTTTTGTTTTCAAAACCAAAAACACAAGAGCAAAAGTGCAAGTGTGTTTATCTGCTCCGATGAAAACTGTCTGGCTAACTTATGAGCTGTAGTAGAAACCCGGCATTACTTCCATGGCTAAGAGTTGGAATACCAGCAGCTAACTGCAATAGTTGTTGAAGTTATAGGTTACAAACATTCACAACAAGCATATCCACTGTGTATTTCCCCACTTCCACCAGTCCTGGACGGCATCCTGTCCTGCTCTTCATTGACTGGACCGCAGCAAAGCATGCCCAGCCCTATAAACATTATTGTTCCTGACTTACTGAGTGAGTGATGAAGTTACACCATTGGTCGATTGTTGGAGTTTCCCCATTGGCCATTGGTCTCTCAAAATGAATAGGAAACAGTGCTGAATTACGTCCTCTGGAGGCTTTTAAAACGAGGTGTATTTACTATTAATGAGACTCATTTGGGTCTGTGTGTCATCTGTTCACTATTTCTTTCAATCTGTTTTGGTTTTTGTAGGCTTTAAAAAACTTACCTCATGGGATGAGGCTTGGTCAACTGTCAATTTGTGTTTTTTCTAAATATGCTCCCTTTATTGACCGTAATTAATATTTATGAGGTCATGTAGTCATCTCTTTTTAGTAGAACAACAATCTTTGAGGTGGAAAAAAACTCAGTCATACAGATTCATGTGGTCCTGTTTTTCAGCATATCTTCTTATCAGTTTAAATATGTTCTGGTGATGGGAGTGTATGACCATCTTTATACTGCAGACCTGAGGATATTACTGCTGCAGTGGCAGAGGAGGAGAATCCATGCAGCCATTCCAGTGTGCTGTTTTGGACTTATCTTATTCATTCATCTGAATAAAACTGTTTTACATATCATGGACATTTGGACATAGCAAACACAATGGCATGTACCAACACATCCATACCAACACAGCCTCTTGCAATAGTTTGTTAAAAGGCTCTACAGATCCACTATGGCAGACAGCAAGATAAATATAAGAAAATAACAAAGGTTTCTCACTTTATTTTATCTTGAGCAAAGGCAGCCATCATATGACCAAACAGGCCTGGTTAAGAGTGGGGTATATCTTGGTAAAATGTAAAGAACATCTCTTGAAAGCCTCACAGTTTGTACTCACCCTGACAGCACACCCAGCACCAGGTTGAGCATGAAGAAGGAGCCGATGATGATGAGGGGGATGAAGTACAGCCAGTTCCAGGTGTTCCCTGAGGCATCGTTGGCCTAAACACATTAACACACAGAGACAAAGAGCAGAGGGACAGTTAATACTATTGTGTTGTTGCAGTTAAAGGATAAGGCTGTTGCCTCTCTACCTTTTTATTTTTGTCCACAAATCCTATGAAAAGACCTAAACCAACAGTTTGACTTCCTTACTCTGTCTGTAGCTAAACCCATTGGTTTCTACAGAATACATAAATTGTATATACTGTAAAAATAGGGTCTCAAATATATTATTTAATTTTTTTAATGGCTTAGTGATTTTATAAAACAGCTGATCACTGTAGTTCTATCCAGCGTCAGTCAAAGAGAAGGGAAATAGTGCATTTCTCGGGGTCTCTTTTCAGTGGCAGATTGATACGCAATTGGTGCACTAGTGAGTATTTTGGGCAGCAGGATGGTGTATGTGGGGCTCAGTCCAAATAAACTACAGTGTGTGTGTGTGTTCAAGGTAATGGAACATGTCACCCAGTGCAACAGTGTGGCTCACTGATGTGTCTGTAATTGTTTTTGAACAACAATGGAGCTGTATGGAACAGAGGAAGATCAGGCTTTGATACACAATATCCATCCTTGTTGACAGTAAGACACAGCAGAATATCACTAGACTTACCCTTTAACTTCACAAAGATGTGTAAGATTCAATGTGACCTATGTTTGAAGATTAAAATAATGACTGACCTTAGTACATTATACAGTATATACATTACTGGTATTCACAGTAATTTGCTCCCATTCACACACAAGAGCATTAGTGAGGTTCAAACTGATGTTGGGTAATAAGGTTTGGCTCACAGTCGGAGTGCCAGTTCATCCCGAAGGTGTTGCATGGGGCTGAGGTCAGCACACCATTTCTTTATGGAGCTGGCTTTGTGCATAGGGGCATTATCATGTTGAAACAGGAAAGAGACAAACACAAACTGTTGACCCAAGGTTGGAAATACACTATTGTCTAAAATAACATTGTAGTGTAGCATTAAGATTTGGACGGAGATCTGGCCCATGCAGCCCTATTCTAAAAGTACACAAAAGTATGTGGGCAGGAGTGGCCCTATACTGTAGAATACATTGAGAGAATCACATTGCTTAGTGGTTCAAAGGCATTACAGCTTTGCATCTTGACGGTTTGGACATAACATCCACACCTCTAAAGACCCATAATCACAGAAGTGCTGATGGGAGTACTTCTGTATTTCCATCCTCCTTCAGCTGCGAGACTTAAGAGAGAAATGACATGGCATTATGGATATTATTCTCACTGTACTACGTCTACTGTCACATCACTGGCTCCCGTTGGAAATACAAGACAATAAACTGGGTATTGGTATGAGAGGTGTGCTCTTGTTTGTGCGTGCGGTTTGCTGCTGGAGCAGAAATGACAGAAGCAGCAGTCACAATCTGAGCTCATGTTCTCTTTTGTGACTTCCACCCTGCCTGAAGGCTTTCTGCTGTATTATTGTTTACAGAATTCTCTACAGCGGGCACTCACGCTTAGATTATTACTTTGGGAGGTTAATGTGATTGCTGGAAATTGTCTGGCGATGCACTCATTTACTGAAACCCATTGTGATGCCTTCCTTTCATTCTGTAGCCTGTTTTAATTCCTCATTTTGCGTCCATAGATTTGCCCATTGTTTTCTCAGATAAAGGAATAGTCTCATTAGCGTTTTTTGAACTAAGCAGCACTATAATTGTTCCTCTATTATGCAGTTTAATTAGAGGGTAAAGTGCTTACATACATTATGGCATGCAAGACTGAGTACAAATGACAGGAGAATAAGCAGGAACAATCAAGGAGGCAAAAATATTCATAAATATAATACTTCATTCGACTTAGTTGACTTAAAATAACCTGTACAGCTGTGTCTATTCCCTTCATTACTTGTCACCATTCTGTGGCTTTATAAAGTTGCTATAGTTAATGTGTTAGTTGACTATTTACTGTTAGTATTTAGTCTCATTTAGAGTTATGTTTGAGTCAAGCTGAGGGAAGTCCAATATTCACTCTCATCACATGTCCAGCACCACACAGCAGACAGAAAAAGTTAGAGTAGAGGCTAGATACAGTTTTCCAAACCAGAGCTAAAAGGAGAGTAAATATTGGACTCACATTCATCAGTTGAACACAAACATGACTCAGATGAATGCTAATGTTGCTCTGCATCTGCTGGATGTATAAATAGGGAGCGGTTTGCTAACATGTAAGCCGTATCAACTTTCTAAAGCCATAGTCAAACATTCTCTTAAATTTCTTACAGAACGAATAAGACACTGACAGATGCACCAAACATTCCTAACTATCCAAATCAGGCTTGCTGAATGATGAGGGAAGCTACGGAAGTCTGAATAATATTTTTTTCTTTAGCCCACAAATGTAATAACCACCTTCATTACTCTGAAACAAATAATAATCTATATTTGATAATATGATATTGTGTTTTATGTTCCTCAAGTTTCAAACTTTGGTTTCCTTGCAATTTTTGGACTCTGAAAACAAGATGTTTTTTTTCTTACTTTGGTAAGAGTGATCTCTACCATTGGTAACATTTTCTTTTACGTGAGAGAGAAGCAAAACTAGGAAAACATTGTTGAATCCCAGAAATTAGTGGGTAAAATAAGAGCTAATTGTGAATGTGAACAAAGATGAGAGAAAATGTGTTTGTATATAGCTTCCTGCACGATCTTCCATTTATTGCGGAGTTCTACCCCTCCAACCCAATCTCACGCCAAAGCCTCTAATAGACCCGCCGATCCACCAGAGGTTACTGTTTCAGTGTCACGTATTTCCTCACCTAGTACATGCAGGTACAAAGCAGCAGTAGTATTGTTCAGTTATGACACAGTGTTGTGTCTCCTTGTGGTCACTTCGGGGAACTGCAGCAGTTAGTAGCGAGAAGAGACCAGTAAGCAGGGAGACAGTGAGCCTAATGGAGAGCGGTTTTTATTTAATCTGAGCTGATCCAGCAGCATCTGTATACATCCTATGCCTTTGGTTGCATTGTGGGTATGTACTGATTTGTTGTATTGTTATCTACGATTGTGGATGATTATTTCTGGATAAGATTACATTTTGTGAAGTTTTATGTTTAAGTTTGTTTAACGGATTATGGATGACTACATTTTTCCTAGGCCCTTTAAAGTTCATACGCTAAAATACAAACAGATAACTGATGTGTTAAAATATAAACATTTGTTGTTAAATAGGAATAAATACATGTAAAGAGTGTAAGCAGTAAAAAGCCATGACATTTAATTCATATGAGAGATTGAATTGGCATATTTAAGTTGTTTATTCGTACATGTTTAAAGCTGCATAGTGTTGATTATTCTTTCTTTGTATGTTTTAGTTTCACCTTTCCTTTACGTCAGTAAACCTGTGGACAACGAGACGACAGTCTTCAGAGTCGTGATATTTGGAAAGAGTTTATCTGACTGCCAAGCTGGATACAGCACGTACAGTGAGGGCAGTACAAGTATAGAGTGACAAAGTCTGCAACTGAAGGAGGTTAGGTAGATAGATGGCTCATACAAACACAGGACTTTCACCCAGGAGACCGCTGTTTGACATGTACCTTTTCCAAAACCTAACCATGTAGTTTTGTTGCCTAAAACTAACCAAAGTGGACAAAACTGATTAGTGCTTCTTCAATATCAAAATACTGATTAGTGCAGCTTTAACTACGCAGCCTATTTATTTTACAAATACTCCCATACTTTAGGAAACCTTGAAATATTTGAATGTTTCAAAGGATCATCATACAGTGGAGCAGAGTACAGTGAATAACAAAAACAGGTCTGGCTTAATTAAATCTAGTCTAACTCCTGCCATACCCCCACTTAGCAGCACAGAGGATATTAGAGCAGAGCCACTGCAGATCCAACCTACAACAAAGCTGGATTGCTGCATTGTGCCTTTAGAGAGGGCAGGAAATAGACACAGGCTCTATGTTACTATACAGATTATACGCACTGCTTGCTATGATGCTTGATATATTGGCCTGCTGTTTAAAAAAAAAGCCCCCCAAAAAATGTTGTTTCCTCAGGCCCTTATATGACTCTGAAGCTACAATGTGAGTGTTTTAGAATACAAAGAGAAGCTAACACATGACAGTTTACTTGTCACAGCATGCTTAGATTAAAACGAAATCTAGCTGATTGGATGTCAAAACACACCAAATACAGCATGTTAGGCTGCATTATAAGAAAATATTTAAGAAAAATGATTTACACATAACTTGTAGATTTGGGGTGCTGCAGTTGATGGCTCTGTGACACAGACACTCTGGGCTCACGCTCACAGGGTGAAGATCCAGAAGGAGCTGCTTCCCCTTTACCCATTCCTTCTGTTTGATTTGATGGTGCATCTTGTATCTCACTCTTCGGAGAGCACATAAATCAGAATTGCTATTAAAGAGGTTATTCTATTATTTATGTTACTTGAGTTCAGACGGGAATTGTCCATGCATGGACAATGAGCCAATGAGATGAAACAACACTGATTGTGGCAGATAAACCCAACTCCAGATGACTGAAGAATCAATTTCAGTTTAAATAACTTGTTAAGAATGATCTTCTCATTCTGAAGGGGGTCATATTGACCCAAACTTCCTGTATCCAGGATAACGAGATTATGGTCTCTGGTGGGGAGGCTGCAGCTGCATAGCCTGGATTAGGCTGCCACAACTGGTTATGACTGTCAGCGACTTCCATTCTTCTTCGTCATTCACTATGTGGATATGTGCTGTATGTTCCCCACAGGATTATCCCTCCATCTCTGGGTGACTACTTGAACTTTTACTAACATTACCAGCACTTAAGGGGAGACACTACAAGTGAATAGGGTTAGGGTAACATTTTAACTCACAAAAACATCCACAGTTGATTGACCACTGTGTAGGATTTAGTTGCATCCAGTGTTTGGTTTGTCACTCCTGGGCTACTGTAAAAACAAGGCAGTTTAACATGGCGGACTGCATGGAAGGCGACCCACGGCATCAGTAGAT